GAGATATTGTGGACTGTTGAAATAAAGCTACGACAAAACTGGGACCAACAATATGTCCAATCGGTTATTGATTTCGTGAATGTGTGGGTGTGAATGATGTCTAGCTCTAGGACGAATATGACGATATGACGTCTAACTGAAAGATAGAGCGTCAAAGACAGAATCAGATACAGGATCCTGCGAGTCGGCGGGTGTGAAATTGAAGTCTTTGTCGTATCAGATCTCCGCTAAAACTGATCATGACGTCCTCTATCATGCTGATACGGAAGGGACTGTAGTGTCCTCTCCCTGGCTGATGAATAAGTGACTGTCTGTCATATTTTCTCTGCTCGATTTCAGAACGATTCTTACTATACATGAATCACTGATATGTTTGCCCTTAAAAGACCCTTAAAAGTTTCAGCCTTCCTAAGGCATAACATTGTAAGGTATCTTTCAAAGCTATGATGCCGCCAGAATAAAACACCATTCGTCGATAACTTGAGCCTTAATACTTCACACATCAGGCAGTTTTCTACCGTTTATCAAATTACCGCTATTGTGTTATTATTGATAATTCAATTTCTCTATGTACAGAAGATGTTTACATCTACATATATCTCAAACAATAACTGCAATCAGACCCTTGTAACGTTTAAAACGCTACCGTTTCGAGGTCTAGCAAACTCCACTGACATTCTAATCTTCGCAGATCTTTCGGTGGCTGCAAGAAAGTATCAAAATGGCAAGGCAGTATCTGGTATCTAATACATCGCCCGAAGTTCATCTCCAAGCAGATCCTAGGGTGGCATAAGTGTTGGACTCTCTCTGGCCAATTTGATAAAGTCCTATGCCACCCTAGGATCTGCTTGGAGATAAACCCGAAGTGGCTTGCGAAAGAAAGACACCAGTACAGAGAAAGCCCCCCCCCCCCCCAAAAAAAACTCGTCAGCTAGGAGAGTACTGACATTCCCCGACAAGGTCGCCCTACTTCTGTCCCCACCTTACTTGTTCTTCTCGTGGGAAAACACGCCCGGCCCATTGTTCTCTCGCGAGAGTTAAACACAGCGGTGTTGTGACTGTAACACAACCCCACCTAGCTGATGTAAGCGGAACGACTGATACACCGCCCCACGTGGAGCCAAATCATTGAGCTGCCACATACGTGAGGGGTTAGGTGTTTAGTAGCCTCCACCAGGCTTTTCTACGAGAATACGGATCGTAGAATTCGGCAAAAAAGAGAGTAAAATTGGCCAAGGGAGTCAGGCCGCGGGGAGGTAGTTTCTTTCCCTTTGAAGCGGCCAGTCAAACCTGCAAGGCGGCCAAACTCCCCTGGCAAATATTCTCCTATATATAACCAGCGTAGTTAGTCTGGTAGAGGTGTTTAGGGCTAGGGTTAGGGTTAGGTAGTCTCCATCAGACTCCTTTGCAGGCTGAATAAATAGTAGAAATCGGCCTAGAAAGGGGATATCATTGGCCAGAGGAATTGGCCGGCCAGGGAGAGTCCATTTGCCTGCAAAGGAGTCTGGTGGAGATTAAGGGTTAGGGTTGCAATTAGAGGTAGGGTTAGGGTTAGAGTTGGGATCATTGTTCAGGGCTAGGGTTAGACTTACGATTGTGGTTAAGTTAGTTTAGGTTTAGTCTCCCACATCACGACCAAACCCCTCCCACCCCTTGACTCAGGTACATATTGAAAACCCCCAAGTAGTGTCGGAGTCATGTATTTGGCAGGATCATGTATCTGGCTTGACAGCGGGAGTCGAGATGAGTTACTGATATGGCATGCGCTTGACGTCATTCGGTGTTGCTTTTTTGCCATCTTTTCAATACGATATTCATGCATAAACAGCTAATAATAGCTAACAATAGCAACATGACGAAAGAACACCAGTATTTTCTAACAGGTATCTGGCATAATAGAGCAAGTTAGATTGGGTTGGTGAGATATGAATTAAACCAGGCAAGAAGATTTCCGCCTAAGCCAAATGATTGTAGTTTGTGGATCAAAAGGGTATGAGAAACAGAATCAAATGATTTGGCAAAGTCGAGAAATAACATGTCTACTTCCCCCCCCCC